GGGTGTTCCTGTTCAGCCAACCGTGCCTGTACTGTGCTGTCGCCCGTACTGTGCCGCCTGTACTGCGCCGAGTGTCTGACCGGGACGTGAGAAAGGCTACAGTCGGGATCTGAGCGAAAAAGCTCTAGCTGGTCCCGAACTCGTCGCACAAGTGCACCGAGACACAGAGAGTGCTACGGGTGGTGCCGAGGCGACCGCATCTAGGGAAGGCATACTCTGCCGTGGACAGGGGCGCGGCCTATCGTGAGCAATGTTTCTCGCCCGCTCTATTTCTGCTCGGGGACTTTAAAGGGATTCGAGCCCGCGCGATGCTATCGGACTCAGACTAGCGTTTTTGGTCACACAACACTATGTAAAATCAGTGCCAGAAAGTATTTGGTGTCAAAAGATCGGCTATTAATTTACCCACAGCTATTCCAAATTTCACCCGGCTACGAAGCGCCGTTCAGAAACTATTTCGTGAAAAACATTCTGGGTTAAATTGACCCCCACCCGAACGCGTGCTAACGACTTCGCATCATTGTACTTTCTCATAGCATTGGGCACCTACTAGACATTAGTGGCGTGGCCAACCTAATGGTTTTTGCCCTCAAACAACTCAAGACGGCCGTGAGCAGCACTGCTACTGCATCTTGCCCGGTGCGCCAATAAAAAATCTAACCCCGTGGCATTCACGCCTTCAGTACGGCGATTGGTGACAGATGTCTTTCTGGTGGCAGCTGCGCTTCATTCGTGCTTACCTCCGGCACCGCAACAACACGGCGGAGGAGCGAACACCTCCAGCCGAAAACGGCGACGAGAAGGCGTACAGCGCAGAGGAGGTGGAGGAGCAGAGGATGCTGGACGAGGTCAAAGTCTACTGCCTCGCCTCCCACCTGTTCTGGACGCTCTGGAGCGTGGTCAACGCCCACGTCTCTGCCATCTCGTTCGGCTACTGGGTGAGCACCTCGCTCAGGAACCGGTGTGTAAAGGCCGATCAATCGGAGGCCGTCCAACGGATTCTCCGTTAGAACTAGTTTTTGTGCACTCGCTAGCAGCCAAACAACGTAGCCAGCCAGTGAGCGTTTCGCTGTTTCTACCGACGGCAGACGCCGCCTGCACGGCTGATGACGGCGGGAGACGGAGGTTGATGAGGTGTGTGACCATTCGCTTCCTCCCTGCTGCAGGAGTACGCCTTCTGCCGGCTGAGGGCTTACCAGACACAGAAGCAGCTCCTGATGAAGGCCGACCCGAGGTGCCCCAAGATGACGGACAGCGGCAAGCGCCGGCCCACGCACATCGAGTAGAGGGCAGCACCTCGGCGGGGTTTGCAGTTGACGGAGGTGGACCAAGTAGAGGGCGGCACCTGACCTCCGTTCGCCACCGCCGGGAGCGGAGGTGGACCAAGTAGAGGGCGGCACCCGACCTCCGTTCGTTGCCGCCGGAAGCGGACCCGAGTGGAGTGCATCTCGCCTGTAAAGCATGTTCCTTCCGGAGCGCCGGGCGCTCATCGTCTGCCGCTCATCCTACCAGCCAATCGAACCAGAGGCAAGCACAGAAGTTGGCTGTGAGGTTCCACAGCGCTGGCAGACCGAAAGTCGGCAGACGTCACCGCGCGGGACACCGGCCCGGCATTCCACCATTCACCGCTTGCCCTGCACGCTCGCATCATCCCGTCTGGGAAGCAGCTGAGTCAGCAGCCGTCCCCCGTGTCAGCCCCACGGCCGCTGTGGCGCGATTCCGCCCGAGTATCGGCACAAACCCCGATGGTGAGCTCCTGTGAGGGACAACACCCGGTAGCGGCGGCCACACACTGGCAGCAGTATTGCACGCCTCTTGCCTCCAGCCTGAACCCGCAGCTTTCAACTGGTTCATTCCGGTAGAAGGGGCTCTAACCTAGTAAAACAAACCCTGCCTAAGCGCCTCGACAAGTTAGCTCAATGGCGTTGAAGGACTCACGCCTCTCGAGCACACTATTGCTCATCGGTGTACATCGACTCTGCTAAGGCAGAGTCGGAGTAGGCACCGCTGTCACCACGGCGAATGCAGCTTCTCGCGCCGAGAGCACTCGCAGTGTCTTACCTGCCTTACCCGTCACCTTAGTGCCCTACCCTCGTCCACCACGAAGACCCCATATAGCTTCCACGCGTGAAGAAGATGGACGCATCGCATGCAGCTAGTAGTGCGCCTTCTGACAGCGAACTGGCATCGGTGTTACTGTTATCAAATGTACGTAGAAAATTTACAGAAGCGCCTTCAATGAGAGTAGACAGCGGGTAGAGTTGCCTCAACACACAGCGATATTATGTTTGCACGTAGTACGAGGCAATAATCAGTTTGGTGGCTTGATTTTGACACCTGCTTCATGGCATGAAGATTGCCGTGCCCGGAAGTGCTCATAATGCGACGTTAGTACATGTATCTAAGAATCAATGTATGAGATATAAAGGAAGAGGAGTAATCGCTCAAAACGACATACAAGTATTGAATATAACACGAGTGTTTTAATATATATCTACACCATATTCAACGTCGGGGATGTGCTTGCCAGGCCAGAAGGCAACTACCCTAAAGTGGATGGGCTTTACTTGTCGACTGAGACATTGACGTTGGAACGGGGGACGACCAGTTACATGCCACGCAATCGTTATATGCCAGCAGGGTTGGAATATCGAAAAGCATTAGGGGAGGGGCAAAACCCGCATTTGGAAGGAATGCGTTCGGTATTTCTCCTGGGCCTCCTCTATACTGCTCCTAGCATTGGGGTCGGCGTGATGCTGGAGGGTGCTTAACGTTTGGAGGCCAAGCCCCATTACAAATATTAAATGTTGCCTATGTATACGATATAACACATCCAAAACTGCACGCGCATGTTATCGCGGTGCCTTCAAGCGTGGACGGCCTTCATGAGCCTCACACTCGGACCATGTCACACGAACCAGCATGCTTCCGGAAGTCGAGACACCGCCAGTAGCAGAACAAGGGGTGCGCAGTGCGCGACGGTGGTGCGTCATAGCGTCAGACGTGTAGATAAGTGCCGCTGCCAGCGGTGGAGTGAGGCGGGATCTAGACTTTTCAGTCGAGTACGGATCGACGCATTGCAACACGCCGGCTCTTCCTTCGGCCGGTGCAATCGAAACAAAGGATTTGGTCGTCGCATGCACAGACTTCGATCACAGCTGCGCCACCCGTCCGCCCAAAACACACACAGGTTTCGGTAAAAGTCGGTGATGAGAGAAATCGGTGCCCAATCAGCAGCACTACAGAACAGGCCTTTTGCGCTGCACGGGACGCGACAGCCCATCCGAAATGGAGAGGCGACAACACGTTAGCCCGGGCCTCTTCCAGGATAGGCACGCGGCTGATCAGTCACCGATGCGCGACCTGGCGGAACACAGCGAAACACACCTCTCGACCGTACACCGCTGTAACAAGCACTCCTTCCTGATGAAAATGGTAGCACGCGGACGCCAGCAGCAGAGGCACATGCAGCACTGACCGGCTGATGAGCTTTACGTAGTGAAAGGTGCGTATGAGTCGCAACAGTGTAGAAGCGTCCTGCAACGCGATGGCGCGGACGCGGAACTTGTGTGATCCACGGTGGGTAGCTGCTGCCAATGGCGGATCCACATTAGATGTGGCCACAGATGCGTGGGGAAATGACTTGGAGAACACGTGACTCAGGACAGGACATGGAAACGCAAGCGCCGTACCTAACCAAACCATAACTACCAAAGAAGTGACATCTGGCAAAATACCATGCCAGTACCGTGGCTCGGGTTGGTTGCTATGCTACCAACATTACGCATTAACAAAACAATACCAAGAAAATATGTATTTCGTGATTATAAAAGGCACGCACAACTCATGTAGGAATCTCGTTATCAGCTCGATGTCAAAATGGCGCCACAAATTTGCCGACAGCGTATCAGTACAAAAATATTACAGTTATTCTTCTACTGGCGATCCCACAGCACGTGATGCCTTGACTAGTAAGCTTACAAATCACGTGGTCCCGAACCCGAGGTTTTCAAGCGAAGCCCCTGTTAGAAGCATCCATGGCACGGCGTGGCTTGGGCAACGGGCTGATCAGTCGATCAGTTCCACACAAGTCTACTAAATGCTAGCGGACCGCACAAAAATGTGGCAGCGCGCGGTTCTACCGTATGTCTGCTGACCTAGCTGTCGGCAGAACGGACCCTGCGCCTCACGCGTAGGAAACCTGTCTATCCGAAAGACCTCCGACCTACTAGAACTCTGCAGCAACGTGCAGAATGACTTGCTTATACGGGGACGGATCCAGCAGCAAAGGCAGCGGTTCGGACACAGCACGCGATCTGACCGACAGGTGCAGCGCACAACCAGCAGAGACCGGATCCCCTGACTCCCATAATTGTGATATGAGACAGACACCCGTCAACATGTGCACTTCACGAGCGCTCATGTCCAGTTCAAACCAAACCAGCACAATGGTGCAGTAATGTCACGGAAAGGATCATGGTTCCGTTACACACGTGCCGCACTGGAACATGCTACATATGACTACAGCACAGAAGCGCAACGCAAGCGATGCAAGCGGCTCTGACGATGCTCTTCCCTTTGCTGCCGGCCACGCACACTGTTTACCACAGTGGGTCACACAGTTCTCTTGTCTCGCATCATTCCGCAGAAATGCCACATCTTGGGCATGTCGCACACCAACCGGTGCGTGACTTCCATCTAGAGAGACCTGTAATTTGGGCGCGTTGTCCTATTACCTGGTCCCGTCTCATCAGCCACCCCGATGCACCAGGCCTCAGAGACAGAAAGAATTCGCGCAGAAAAAGCTCCCTCCTAGCCAACACACTTCCACAGTTCTTAAGACCACAGTGCGCACGAATACTGAACGGCTGCCCACTGCGTTTCACCAAGCGCCGCTCTTCTTCGCGCGGCCGCCCGGTGCCGCGGCCCGCTGCAGCGGCGGGGGGTCCAAGGCAGCGGCACTGGGAGGGGGCGCCCGGGCGGCCCCGGTGCCCGCGCCGTCACAGCTGGGGCAGCTCGGAGACGTCCACGTCCACGTAGACCAGCGGGAACTGGCCGGAGCGCTGGCGCCGCGTGCCGTAGCCCCAGTCGTCGTTGAGCTTGCCCATCACTAGCACCAGGTCGCCGGCCTGGGGCGGGGCCGACGGGTCAGGCGACAAGCTGGCACCACGAGACCCGCAACGAGAGGGGGGGGGGGGGGGCACGAGGAAGTCGAGCTCGGTACCAGGCTGGCCGAGGGGTCACTGGTGTCAGCACCAGGTCACTGGCACTGGCAACACGTAACTCGAAACAAGGAGAGGGAATTCCGCACCGTCATCCAAGTACGGCGCCTGGAGCGGATACTATGCCATCGGCACATGCTGTTGGCAACAGCAACGCGCCACCGCACAGAAAGCAGACTCCGGCGATAGCTAGATCACTGCAAGGTCAAGGCTACGTGAAGTCATAACAGCCACGGAGTCGGATGCCACCGACGAGAACATAAACCGACAAGATCGCGTTGACCCGGCGCCGGTTGGCGACCGCCGAAGCGCAAGCTCAAGTGACACCCAAGCAACAGCTAACCACCAGTGGGAACGGCCCGAGACCAGGGCCGCACTGCTTTGCTTTGCTTTGCTTTGCCGCACAGGCTGGTGGTAGGCTGGACACGGAAAAGGTCGTCCCAAGACGATCACAGGCCAACGGTTCGGATACGGTGATGGAGACGATCCGGCACCGGCGGACCGGATACGGTGGCGGATGCGACCAGAGACGAAAGGTTCGGATACGGTGATGGAGACGATCCAACACCGGCGGACCGGATACGGTGGTGGATACGACCAGAGACGAAAGGTCCGGATACGGTGATGGAGACGATCCGACACCGGCGGACCGGATACGGTGGCGGATGCGATCAGAGACATGAGGTCCGGATACGGTGATGGAGACGATCCGACACCGACGGACCGGATACAGTGGTGGATACGATCAGCGACGGACGGATCGGCAACCGTGGTGGAGCCGATCTGACACCGACGGATCGGATATGGCGGTGGAGACGATCGGCGACTGACGGATCGGATACTGTGGTGGAGACGATCAGAGACCGTCAGGCCGGATTCGGCGGCTAGACGCCACCGACTGCCCACCTTGAATCCGAGGTCGTACTGCTCTTCGGCGGTGAAGTCGTACAGGGCCATGGCGCGCGTGCCGCCCTGACAAGCCTCCCTGCTGACGGCCGGCGGCGTGAGCGGCCCCACCAGCGGGGTCACCACCTGCACGTAGACGGCCGGCACGAGGCCCTGCCGGCCGCCGCGGCTGCCCACCAGCCAGTCCGCGTCCAGGCGACCCACCAGCCGGAGAGAGTCTCCCGCCTGCGACGGCCGGGACGTCAGAGCGCTCAGCACACCGTTGCTGGGAGCCGGCGGCCGCCGCGAGACGGTCCACGGAGCGAGGCTGGGGTCGAGGTTAGAACCGAGGTAGACCAGTCCCAGACAACATGAGCGCGTCCCCGCTGAAGGTCACAGCACTACCGCCGTGAATGCACTCGCGGGGGATTTTGCAAACCGACTACACATGTAGTCGGAAAAGCCTTTGTCGAGAGTGTCATCGAAGTACCAAAGTGTCGGAGTGTCAGTGGTGTCTCTGCAATTCGTTCAATAACGAGTTACCTTGAGGCTGAGATCGGCGGGTTGATCAGAGTGGAAGTCGTACAGGGCGATCGCCTAGGAGGCCAGATTGTACCGAAAAGAGGAAAAAATCAAGTCTTAATGGTCGCATAGTGTACGGGCATTTCAGCACAGACCGCAAATGACCACGACCACACAAAAGGATACTTCTGAAAACGAAAGGCTCCCTCGCTCCCTCGCATAAAAACTGCTCCCTCGCATAAAAACCCACGCCTTTCCGAAGTTGTGAAACACTGCCGTGCGTCCCAAACAGCACCATCTATCCGAGACCAGAACATGACAGGAGTACCAGGCTCTCGGCAACAATCCATCTCTGATGTGCAGTGGACGGCGTGCAGGCCCGGCGAGGCCATAGCAACGCGGTCACCACCTACCTGTTCACCGACGGGTGACGGCGGCCGAGGTTCGCCGCTGGCGTGCGTCGCCGGCGGGCCGGGCTCGGCCTGGCGCGGCTCGCCGGCCGTCGCGGACCCGGCCGAGGCGTCAGCGGACGCGACCGAGACCGCGGCCGCGGCAGGCTGGCTGCCGGGACGCTCCGGGGAACCACCCGACGCGCCGAGCTCGGAGCCGTCGCTGGACGTGGCGCGAGGACTGTCCGCCGATCTGGAGGGATCGCCGGGCGATGTGGCGGACGCAGGCGTCGGCGGACCGTGGGTGGAGGGGACAGGAGCAGTGCGAGCGGCAGCGGATGACGAAGGGTTCGTGGCGGGACTGACCGCAGAGCCGGACGGTTGTTCGCCCCGCTTTCGGTCGGCGCTCCTCCCGTGTAGGCTGCCTCCGTCGCGCGGGCTGAAGGGAGACTGCGCCCCGGAAGGCTGTGGCGTCCTCGTCACACGACCGGCCCACACCTTCTCCCGGCCGCTGCGCTCGGCGGAGAGGGCGGCCGAGGACCGGCTGACCCGCCCCTCCCAGGGACCGCTCCAGCTCGCGGGGCTCGGAGCCGTCGCCGAGGAGTGGGGCTTGTCCCCGCTGCCGTCCGGATACGAGTCGGCCCGGGTCTCGACACCGGCCGGCGGGGCGGGACTAACGGAGGCGGGAGGGGGCGTGCTCGACGCAGACGACTCCTTGTCCGCGAGCGAGGCCGGGGCGGGCGCCTTCTCATCAGCCGACGGCACGGGGGAGCCGGCGAATTGTTCTTCAGCCGCGGCCGGCCGAGCCTTGGTCGGCCCGGCGGCGACCGGTGACCTACCGCCCCGCGCCGCCCGGGCAGGCCGCCGCGGCGGGGCCGTGACCGGCGGGTGCACCTCGGGCGCCGCCGCTGCCGCGTCTCCGGCCAGCCCCTCGGCGCACTCAGCTGCCGTCGGGCTCGCGGCCGTCCCCGCCGGCGACGGCTGCTCGCTCGAGGCAGGCCTCCCATCAGACCGGCGGAACGTCGGCGTGAAGGCGGCCGCCGGCGCCGGCGAGTCTCCGCCGGGCTCTCGCGTCGCCAGTGCCGGCGCCGACAGGTCCCGGCGCAGGGCGACGCCAGCCCCAGGCGCCGACACCGGCGAGTCCAGGCCGGTGCGGTCCTTGTCGCTGGTCAGGCAGCCAACGTCGGCGCGCAGGTCGGGGCCGGAGGAGGCTCGGGAGGCCGCGTCCAGTCGCAGCACGTCTTCGTATGTGGGAGGTAATCCCTGCGACGGGAGCACCGGTCCCGTCAGCGGGGTACACAGGGTGGAACAATGTCACATTGCCGCCATAAATCCGCCAACACTCGGCATAGCGGACCCACCATCCCGAGATTGCCGGAGCCGCACCGAAGATTGCTGACATGTGCTAGTGATTGAAATATCGACTTACACCCGGGCACAGGCAAGTACATCATCATTTGAGCACAGTCATGCACTCACAGGGTTTCGTTAGCGGGCCGCCGGACGATGGCTCGTCCCGCGGCGGCACAGCAGTCGCGCTCTGACGCCTCCGGGGAGAACCATCATCAGCCCCTTCCTCCGCCCCATCGGCCGGGCGCCCCACTCACCAGGACGGCGCTGGCGCTCGGCGGCGGCGGCCGGGGCGGCGGCGTCTTCTTGGGACGGTCTCCGCGGCGCGCCAGCTCGGGCTGGCCGGGCGACCACGAGGCGCGGGCCGGCCGGGACGGCGCCGGGCCCGGCCGCTCCACCACCTCCAGCACGGGCTTCCTGTGCGGACCGGCACGGTGGTCAGGGCGGCGCGGGCCACCGACATACCCGTTACCCGTGCACGTGTTCAGAGCACGCAGGGCAGTCAGAGCGGCGCGGGTCACCGGCACGCCCGCTACCCGTGATTGTGATCCGAATACACAGGGTCGTCACAGCGGCGTGGGTCACTGGTGCGCCCGCTACCCGTGCACGTGTTCGGAGCACGCGTGGTTGACAGAGCGGGGCGACCCACGGGACGCGCCCGCTACCCGTGCACATGCTCAGAGCACGCATGGTCGTCAGAGCAGGGGCGAACCACGGACTGCGCCCGCTACCCGTGCACGTGCTCAGAGCGTCAGCCCAAAGGTCCATGACTATTAACAAGGTGTCGATGGCCATCGCTCCACTGCCCGTCAAACACGGGTCACCAGATGATCAAGGGCCAACGGGCTGTGGCACGGCCGACACGCTGAGAAAACAGAGCCTGAAGATCGCAGCCTCCAGGAAACGGCATAACGGCCCCCACACAGCACCCGACAAAGGTCACGGAAGACACGCATAACAACCGATCAGATGACCAGCCACACTAATCTGGCACAACAGTGGCACGAACCAAGGTCAAAGGACGCACGTAGTGTAGCATGTCATGCTGTTTCATGCAGTTTACGGACGTGAAAAATTCCCATGTCCCGAATGTGGTTGGTATACACAACAGCATGCCGAGCGGACCAATAAGGACGTGCCGTGCAGGCCGATAAGGACGCGCCGTGCTGATAGCCGGCGCCGTTTCTAGCTGGCGCGCCGCGTGACGTATCGCCAGATAAGACTGCAGGCGGGGAGGGGCACATGGCCCTCATGTAGGATAACGCATCGGGCTTCAATAAGTGCGCATAACCGGTGACGTAGACACCACACTGAGTCACGCCATGAATGCCATCAGCTAGTGCTTTTCGTGACAAGCGGCAGTTTACCAATCAAAAAAGATGCTCAAAACGTGCCCAAAAAACAAAAACTGTGCCTGACACAGCGTTGCTTCAGCTCATTGCTCATATGATTTAAAGGGCGCTCTCCACATCGCATTCACGCACTACAAACACTATCTCTGCACGATCCCATCACGCCCAGCGTTACCTCAGTCCACCCTTCCACACCAACTTGCGCCTGCCATACTTGAACGCCTTGGTCTTGCGGAACCTGTCCTCGAAGTCAGAGGGCGGCACGCGAGGCAGACTGATGAGCGGCCGCAACTTGGCGCTGCTCCAGACCACGCCGTCCGGCTGGTCGCCGTTCTCCCTGCGCTGCCGCTCTCTCTCCAGCGTCGGCTCCGGCTGCGGCGCCGGCCTGCAGTCCGGCAGCAGGTGCGGCTGCCACAGCGTGGCGACGCTCACTGGTCGGCCGCCGGCCGCCTGCAGGTCGCTCTTCGCCCTGCGGCCGTGTCGCCGCCTCGCCGCGCCCGCCGCCGGCCGCCGCTCCACCTCGAGGTCCGAGCGGCCGACCGCCGCCGGCGGCGCCGATGACCCGGGCCACGCACATCCTTTCAGAGAAACGGTGCGCGGCCGCGGATCGTATTCGGCCGAGTAGGGCGGTGGCGGCTCCGGATAGGCCGGCAGCGCGGACACCGGCCGCGGCCGGGACGCCATGGCTCGGGCAGCTCGCGCAGCTCGGGCAGCGCGAACAATGCGGACAACTCGGCGGCGCGAACAGCGCGGACAGCGCGGACGGCACGGGCAGCGCGGTACGGCCGACGCGGCCACTGAGCGCCGGGTGGAATCAAGCGCCGGCGCCAGCAGCAGTTGACACAGACCGATAGCGGTGCCGATAGCCGGGCGGCGCGGATGCGGATTGACCGGCGATACGGACTTGAGCCGTGGGGCTATATCGGCTCGGCCCTCGTCACTGTAGACCTTCCGGTCTTACATGGAGAACCAAGCTAGTGAGGCCGACAAACAAGTGTGCAAAGAAGTGTTGATTTCCCGTGATAACTGAGCGCACAACAAGACGGCACTGTACTTCGCCATCAGCTAACACGACACCAGGGCAGACGTCGTAAATCCGACAGGTAACAATGGAGCGCAGCCAGCACCCACACCCCATGTTCAGCCCCAGACTGTGGCAGGCTGGCTACAGCTGCTCCAGGCGCAAGCCCACCTGAGTACGACATCCGGGGACGTCGCGGGAGCACCTCCGGTGCGCCGACCGGCCGGGGGCGGCGGCGCCCTCCGCACGGGCACGTGGTGCACAACTGTCCGCTGCAACAGACCTGCTGTTAGCAGAGACCCTCTGCATGGGTATGTGGTGCACAGCTGTTTGCTGCAATAGGCCCGCTGTTAGCAGAGACCCTCTGCATGGGTATGTGGTGCACAGCTGTTTGCTGCAACAAGCCCACTGTTAGCAGAGACCCTCTGCATGGGTATGTGGTGCACAGCTGTCTGCTGTAACAGACCTGTGGTTAGCAGAGACCCTCTGCATGGGTATGTGGTGCACAGCTGTTTGCTGCAACAGACCTGCTGTTAGCAGAGATAGCATGTCTCTGACAGTCTCCAGATGCTCCAGCACAGCCTGCTCAGGGCTAAGATGATGAATGGACCCATGGACTCTCAGTTACACTGGTTGTAATACTTCCCACTTCAGGTTCACTTCAGGGTTGGCTGGAGTACTTCACTACATTGGTATTCAGTTATCAATGTGTTTGTCATCCCTTCAGTGAACCCAATGATAAGGAGCTGCCTTGCATGACTTAGGTCATAGATGGATTTAAAAATCACTGGCAGGCAGCTGGTTGCAATATGACCAAGCATACCATGAAGCATTTTAAATTTTATCACTTGCACCTAGTTGAGAGCAGAGCCTGATACTGCTTATATATCATATTTGAAGCACCTGTAGGATGTTGACTACCATTAAACAGCATCATGGGCACTAGAACTTGTCCAAAGAAAGGGGCAGGAGTACTCTTTGTTGCTTTTCTTCCAGAAGCTAAGCATTTGGTGAACACTGGCTGCTCAGCCATTGCCTTGAAATTGCCATCATTATTATGCATTTGATCATGAATTTAGAACTCGTTGGCACAGCATTCCACAATAACTTATGTTTACCACTCCTATGGCCTGGTGTGCATCTTCTGAACAAAGGGTTACAAACATCAAAATAATTCTAGTAATATTCACTTTTAACTATGACCTTGGCACACCTCCATTGGTGAGCTAGGACAACCACACTGACAAAACAGTGACAAAAATAAAGGAATTTGTCAAGCCATATCAAAGCTTTGGAGTCCTAGCCTTCAGTTATTTGCTATCAACAAGCTCACATCCAAAATCATGGTGTGAGGGTTAGTACAACAACCAGAGGGTCAGTGGGGTCTGGTCTCCAGTGGCCTCTGAGCGAGCTGGACCAACATTCTTGGACTTAAGTAGACAGCGTTGGCTGAAAAAATCACCCTTGCACCAAAACAGACACGGATCCCAGTAGCATTTAAGGCGTGGTCACCTCTGTGGGGCTAATCTCACGAGGGAAATCAATAGCTCCACCCGCTCAAGGCTTGAGCGGATGAGCATTGAATACTGCAACAGAACTTATTCAATGCAGGTGAAAAATTTATTTACGACTAATCCTCCGGCAAAAGTTGAAATTTGGAGAAGTACCGCGCTCCCCCACCATGACTCGTCGGCGGCGAACACCGCAATCACTGCAAGGCCTGTAATAAATTGCAATGTTTGCGCCGTTATATGTCGCTCCCGCGGTACTCCAAGCCGCACGGTTGGTGGTCGAAAGTGACCCGCAAATTGAAAGTATTGTTATCTGGCACCACTAACTGAACGTTGAAACTAAACTCCTGCCTGGTTCTTAGACACGCCGGGGTTTACATTACTGTACTGTCATCGTTTGTTCTGTGTGCATTCGAGATGGGTTCAAAGCGGGCCAGTTTCTTTTTAAAATCCGAAAAGCTCGAAATTTCCACGCAACGTTGTCAGCTCGTGCGATGATTCACAATCGCCTCGCACGTCCCCACCCCCCTCCAACATCCCGCTCAAACCGTGCAGCACTTAAGCTAAAAGCCTAAAAAAAAGTCAAAAGCTTATGTTCCCAGATGTGTTTAACGGCACGCGTTTAATTTAACCCAAATCATCTTATGACACTCCGGACAGTCAACCAAAAATTGAAAAATGACCGCAGCACGTCGGCGATTGCGGCCATGCCATCACACGGACACCCTCTTCTCACGACCGTTATGCGACCGTAGATGCCTTGAGAACGATATCATAAGCGCATGGCAGGCGGCTTAACCAACTAGTAGGGGCAACCAAGATGTGTGCTACTTGTTGACCTCGCCACGAGTAATCAAAGCGGATTGCTCGACCGTTCCTGTCGTTCGCATCACTTTCCGGTGACCTGAAGCCTATTTCAGAGCATGATCTGCAAATGGCTGCCCCAGTTCAACCACACCTCATGTACAGCACGCGTAAAGTGCCGCTTCATGACAACTGCACACACCCAGCCAATATGGGTCTTCACTCGTCACCAACCCCTCAGCATGACAACAATGAGTGTATTAAAAATGAACGCGATGTTCAGTAACAGTGGATTTGCAGCGTAAGAACCAAACTACCGTGTTAAAACAACTGTGCAGCAGCATTAGCAGATCCACGGATGTAAATTCGACGTCACGCAGGAATGTCCTCACTTCGGATGATGTCGTGTGCGGGTTCGAATACGGGGCAGCCTCATCCGCTGAACCCTAACCCGGCTCTCAAGCCGCCATCGCAGGCCGTGAGCGGCCCAGGCGCGTTCCTAGCCAGAACACGGTGGCCCTCGCCGCGGCCGATCACCCGCGCCACAATCGTCGTCACGACGGCCCCGACGCGTCGACGCCGCCGGAGCGGCCCGGCTAGTCCGAGTCCGAGTCGTCCTGGTCACGGCCGCGGATCGTCTTCTTCTTCTGCGTGACGCGAGACTTGCGGTCGGCGGGGTCCGGCGGCGTCAGCAGGTCGCCGCTGTAGTCGATGACGCCCGCCTGGGGGCGCGGCACCAGTGACGTCACACGGGCACCACTGGAGCCCGCGCCATATATCTTATGTGCACAGAAAGCCAGTACTGATAGCAGTAGTAATTGGGGCTTTAGAGCGCTTCGGGTACACAGCCATATAGCACCTGCACAATAAGCCAAAAAATATACAGCCATTTCTGTGTTGGTTGAATTGCTTTAGGGCTGTTTATGTAAAACATGAGTTCCTTTCGACTTCCTCCAGCATAAAAGTGCGACACTTTCGGGTTGTTCATTCGTAAATAATCATTGCAGTGAGCTGTGCCTCAGTAAGAATCGTCATCATACCTCAATCACCAAAACATACTTGGCTACGTCCATGCACACTTCGACCACCATACAGCTGGATGGGTCTGAACAAGGCTATGCCGACTTTGCTGTACAAATACACGATCTTTTCCAGCAAGGGAACAACAATCCAACAAACGAACGTCACATTCGAGTAACGAATAAGTGAGAAATATCAGTACAAATGGTATGACAGAGGATCCATTAAGCCCTGCTGTTTATTATAAAGGCGAGAAAGGCCTTGCGTTCCTGGCATTTCGACAATGAGTTGGAGGGTCTTGTTCTGAGAATAATCTACCTTTACTGTGCCAGGAGGCAAGAAGTTCTAACAAAACGTCGTTATCAGGCAGGCATGGCTTAGATGGACAATATAGTAAATGACCATGTAGCCAGTGCTTGCCTGATAGCATTTAACCAAAACCTCCTAGCATAATGCAAGGTCGCTCGTTGTCAGAACCCCAAACTTCCTGATTCTATCCCCATCCCTGCGCACATTTAATGCGTTTCAGAACTCCAAGCGCGCCAAAGTACGAGCCAAAAATGCCTGCATGCTTGAATTAGCCATACCTGCGCTATCCTCCACTCCAAAAGATCCGTTGAGAACTCGTCGTTGTTGCCGAGATCAGCAAAGCCCACGATGAAATCCTTGGTCTTGGCGTCCTTAACCAACGCGATGGTAGGCAAAACCTTGATCTTCAGTCGCTCTGAAGCATATGCACATAATGTCAGAATGAACAGCCCTGGCTAATTGTGCAATGATGCACATGACGTCTGGTTGCGACGATGGTTCCAATGTTGCCAGGCAACATGGCCCCGCAGCAGAGCAAAAATTAAAATTCGATACAAACTAAAACGATTTTTTCGACTCACAACTCTCACCGTCAGCAAAGAAGCAAGATATCATATATTACAACATTCAAATTCATGTTGCACTTACGTGTAAGGAAAGGACACTTCTCGGCATTTATTTTTACAAACTTGGTTTCCATATGTTTCTTGGCTAAGCTATTCAAGTGCTTGTCAACAATTTTGCATCTGAAGAAGTCGTCCCGGTAGAAATGACACACAACGTTTTCAGATTTCTTCGGGACTTCGAAGAAGTCTTTCTCCTCTGGGATTTCGGTATATTGTCCATGCCCCTGTCGCAGCGTTTAAAGTGAGGCACATAAATTCAATACCAGGCACATGAAGCGAACAATCAATCGCAAACATAAGACCTTGACGAGATAAGTCGCGAACTTCAAACTAACGGCTACAAAACAAAACAAACCCCGCATGCAATATAAAATGGAAACAGAGAGTGCGACGTTTAAGTTGCACCAACAGATAACATTGCAAAATTTATGTTACGTACCTCCATTTTCGCCGGCCCACAATATTTCGATACATGCGACAGGTCAGGTGACAACCCGTTTCAAGGTAGCACGCTCTGGCTAAACCTCGCCGACTTCACAAATATCGGACAAACAAAAAACACATCAATCTAAGCAGGGAACACCAGCAGGTACATAGTGGGTAATCTGTGATGCGCAGTATAACAAATATGTCCGCAGCAGCAGTTCCGTTGAATAGGGTCAGTCACCAGCTACCTCCCAGCGCCATATATTTCCACGATTTTACAGCAACATCATATGACAGCATTCCATGAACAGCATCATGATCATGAACTTTGTTAAGTTAAAACCACAACATGCAGCATTAATGCAACATTACAAAGTACAGTACTTCTATTGTAATATCATTGATGGCATTAATTATATAGACAGCATTTCTCTGATGACTGGTATGATGGCATCAATCTCCAATAGCCTTCATGCTGGCACTGCCACAATTGTTTACACAACTGTCAGTAAAACAGGCATGTGGTGAAAACCTCTACAAACTTCTGCGGCGCAGGGTGCGTAGAGCACCACAGCTATTAGGAGGGTGAGCATTTTCCATAATTTCATCTTAAAAATTCTTGAGAACATGGGCGTAGCATGGTGACATACCACAGTAAGACGTCCAAGTTCCCAAAACATAAACTTGAATGACTGCCAGCCTTAATAACACGCACACTTCATCAAACAATAGTCAGGGCACCCCAGGGTTCGGCAGTGCAGCTGGTCCCCCACCTAGCCATAACTGCTCCCCTGGCCGATCCGCCGGCCGACGGTCGTCACCTGTGCGTGCCATTCGTGACGCTTCTCCTTCATACGCTTCATCTCCTGGATGCGCTGGCGGCGGATGGTCTCCAGGTCGTCGGTGTCCAGCCGATCCAGCCGGCTGATCTCGTCGTCCAGCTGCTGCTCCAGCTGCTGCGCCGCTGACACCAGCTGCGCCTGCATGGCTGTCTCCATCTCTGGCACTGGTGGCATGGGGAGCTCACTCCAGACAGCACATAGGGTTGAAAGGGTCCAAAATGATCTTATGGTGAGGACCCCACATGATTTGCAATTGAGTAACCCACAAAGTTGTGAGGATGACTTGTTCAAAGCAATCAGCTTGCAGTGTTTTGCTGTATTTTTTTCATGCTTTCATTTCAGTCAACATTGCTTTATTTTTCGACAACGATTAACAAGATATGGCTTATCCTTGAGTCTTGACTGACTGAACTGGGGAATGGCCAGGGCTGTCAGGATGAACACGAATGGCCATGTCCGGGATGGAATGCCCAAGTTAAGGCAGCTCGGATGACCCACAAAAAGACAGACAATCCCATGGAAAGCTACAACAGCTTAGGACTTAAAGCACAGTATGCTGTGCATGCGTAAATCTAAACTAAACCAACTACTTCGGATTAACGCGCGCCCAGGTGGACGGCTAGATACCCTTCACTCGGGTGGAGGGGGCCAATTTGCCTCCCCCTGCCTCTGAGATATCGGGAACTAAGAAAGCTAGAGACACCAAGTTGTACAAGGTGTGTCGACCTGTACATGAACTCACTTAGGTCAAAATTTGAGGCTCCTAGGTCATGACCCTCCGGCCGAAAAAGGTCAAATAAGGTCAAA